CTCGCCAAGCTTCTGAAGACAGATCAGACTCGAACGATGACTGGAATCAGGGGAACCAGAGGATATGTAGCACCAGAATGGTTCAAAAGCATGCCTGTTACAGCCAAAGTAGATGTCTACAGCTTTGGAATTTTGTTGTTAGAGCTTATTTTCTGCAGAAAGAACTTTGATCAGAATGCAAAGGAGGATAATCTGATGGTATTGGCTGATTGGGTTTCTGATAACTATAGAGGAGGAGTATTGGAGCTGATGATTGAGAATGATGAAGAAGCAATTCAAGATATCAAGAGGGTTGACAAATTTGTGATGATTGCAATTTGGTGCATTCAAGAGGATCCATCAATGAGACCCACCATGAAGAAAGTCTCCCAGATGCTTGAAGGCACTGTTGAAGTCCCTTCTCCTCCAGATCCAAGCTCATTTATCAGTTCAGTTTAAGTTTTAATCATAACATGTCATAATAAGATGGATTCATTCAATTTGCTGGGCAGAAAAATAGCCTTTTAGAGTGGTTATGAATGGGCAAAAACTATGTAAAGGTAATCTTTTATGATGGATTGATTCAATTTCAAAACTTTCGTCTTTAATTAAGTTGTTTTAATTTTTTAGGGCAATGTAAAGAAAACTAAATCAGTATTTATATAATAAGATGACATATTCATAGTCACTAAAAACACAGTACATGATGTTTACCTCTCACTCCTTTTAAAGTTTCCTTGCAAAGTTGCTACCTTTCTCATGGGTTTAAATTATAAATGGTGATAGATGGAAACCTACTGAGATTATGGAAAGGCCAGTCTTGTTAAGAAATGGCCTGTCTGTAAACCATTTTGCTTTGTTACTCCAAAAATGCTTAAAGTTCAAATCTTTACCTTCAGGCAAGCAAGTTCATGCTCTGTTACTGACTTCTCGTACTGATTTAAATTCTCTGTCTTTGCATTCAAAGCTTGTTGGCATGTACTCTAGCTGCGGGGATGTGAAATCCGCAACCTGGGTATTCAAAAGAATTGAAAAACCAAACGTTTTTGCATTGAATTGGATGGTTTTAGGCTCTGCATTTAATGGGTTTTATGAGGAGGCAATTGGGTATTTTTGTTTAATGCGTGAGTCATTACATCTCTGCAACAAGTTTACCTTCTCCGTTCTGTTGAAAGCTTGTGTTGGTTTGATGGATTTGAATAAGGGAAAGAATGTTCATTGTGTGGTAAAGAAGATGGGTTTTGAGAGTGATGTATCTATGGCTAATTCTTTGATAGATATGTACTGCAAATGTGGAGACTTGTTATATGCACATAAACTGTTTGATAGAATGCCTGTGAGAGATGTTGCTTCTTGGACATCCATGATTTGTGGATATTGTAACATGGGGAAGATCAAAGAATCTGTTGTTTTATTTGAGAGGATGAAGGTGGAAGGATTCGAGCCAAACAAATTCACTTGGAATGCGATGATTGCGGGTTATGCAAGTAGAGGAGATAGCAAGAGTGCATTATTGCTTTTCAATAGAATGAGAGGAGAAGGACTAGTACCTGATTTAGTTACTTGGAATGCTATGATTTCTGGTTTTGCTCAAAGCCAGAAAGCTGCTGAGGCTTTGGAAATGTTTCGGGATATGTTGTTTTCGGGGATTAGACCTAACCAGGTGACTGTAACTGGGTTACTACCTGCTTGTGGATTGACTGGTGCTATTCATAGAGGTAGAGAAATTCATGGGTTGATTTATAGGATGAGTCTTGATATTAATGCCTTCATTGCTAGTGCTCTTATTGACATGTACTCTAAATGTGGCTCTATGGAAGCTGCAAGGAATGTTTTTGATCTGATCCCAGTCAAGAATATTGCATCATGGAACGCCATGATTGGATGTTATGGGAAGCATGGCATGTTCGATGCTGCAATGGAGCTCTTTGAGAGAATGAAGAAAGAAGGAATTCAACCAAACCAGGTAACTTTAGCTTCTCTTCTCTTCACTTGCAGTCACAGTGGAGAAATTGAGAAAGGTTTGAGGATTTTTAAGTCGTTGCAAGAGAATTACGCGGTGGAGGTAAATAAAGAGCATTATGGATGTGTTATCGACATGCTGTGTCGATCAGGGAAGATGGTAGAGGCTTACGAACTGGTTAAGGAAATGCCATTTAGAGTCACAGAATCAATTATAGGAGCTTTCTTCCATGGCTGCAAAATATATGGGAAAAGAGATTTGGCCAAGATGATGGCTGAGGAAATTCTTGGAATGGACTTGAAAAAACCAGGAGGGTTTGTGACTCTATCAAATATTTATGCTGCTGATGGAGATTGGAATGAGGTTCAGAATGTGAGGAATGTAATGAAGAAGAAGAATGTCAATAAGAGTCCTGGACTAAGTCTGGTTGAGAAGAGAAATGAAGGACATTGAAAGCTTCTGGTAAGCTTTTTAACATTAATTGGCTTTTCAAATTTAAACCAGTAATGTTTTTCCCCCCCTTGAAGCCAGTTTTTGGATCATGGATTTGATTGTGCCATGAGTAAACCTTTGAAAAAGCATAAAGTTTTCTATACACACACACACCTATATATATATCTGCATAAGTGTGTGTGCATGTGGGACTATCCTTGTCATGTAAATATCAAACAACTAGAACATGCTTTTGAATCTCTTTCTCTTTTCTTGCCTATATCTTTTTCCTTTCCAGTGGACTTCTCATACTTTTCCCAGTCTTATGCTTAGAATGCCAATCATAGATTATCTGCTTTGCCACTTTATAGCTTATGTTCTTTGGGTAATGAATAATCTTTTTCTTTTCTTTTCTTTTTTGTGAGTACACAACATTTTATACAACTATTTATATCAAACACCAAAAACTTTCGATTAATAGAAATTTCAGTAAACAACAAACTTAACATCTTTTAAAATTCACAGCACAATATTACAGTTACCTGACATGTTTACGTAGTTTTAATAATTAAAAAACTGACTAGAGAATGTTCATACTGTCGAAAGAAAAGTAACAAATGGGTACTTACCGAAAAAAAAATAATTTTGTTTAACCTTTTACTATAAAAACAAAAACTTATCATACGGGTAATCTTATGAATCGTAAATTTTAGGCTTTTTTGCTTAATTAGAAGAAAGTATTGTATAACTGGTTTAGTAATTCACTGCAATTCTGGACCACTGTACATATTTAGCTTGTTTGGAGGACCACATTGCACTCCACCTTAGAGTTTGAAACCTGTGGGTTTAATTC